TATCAATATGCCGCAAAACTGTTGTGTCCCTGAGTGTACAAAGAAAATTTACGTCGAAAATGGAATCAAAATCTCGTTTCACAAGTTCCCTGAAGACCAAGATATATTTAAAAAGTGGATAGTCGCTATTCGAAGAGATTTAGGGAGAGATTTTCGTGTTACAGAGCATACTAGAGTCTGCTCGCGACACTTCAAGCCGCARGACTACAGACCTTCTTTCGGTGGCCGTAAAAAAACATTACTACCTGGAGCCATACCATCAATTTTTCCCTGGAAAGAGGGTTCTCCAGCTCGTAGGAGATCCCCTAGAAAGAGGCCTWTATTTGTTAAAGAAAAAGCCGTCGCTTCTACAAATAATGACAATCTCGCCGCGTGCAGTACTACAACAACATGCGATGTTGAGGAATTTCCGGTCTCGCACGAAGAAACTCCCGGAGAAACTTCAATGGACATCGACACACAACCAAACCAACAAGCATTTCCAGACTACGAAGACCTCAAATGTGAGTACACTCGGATGTCAAATGAACTTTCCCGTGCTACGGARATTCAGGAAGCACTTCAATCCAGAATCGAGGATCTGGAACGTCAAGTACTCGACTTGAAAAGCAAAGCGTTTAGCGCTGATAACCTAACCAAAGCAGACAAAGATGTGGCGTTCTATACAGGATTTTCTTCTGTCCTTATTTATGAAGCAGTTTACAAATTTTTGGACCCTGGAGAGCGTGGCGAAAACATAAACTACTGGCACTCAACACCAGATACTACACAGAGTGACAAAGACAAAGAAACGGAAATACCAAAGCAGGGTAGGCCTCGACAACTTTCTGCCAAAGAAGAATATTTTTTGACATTGTGTAGACTAAGACAAGGGTTTAGAGAGCAACACTTGTGTCATTTGTTTAATRTCTCCCAACCTACAATYAGTCGAATTGTCATTTCCTGGATCAACTTTATGTTTTTAAGATGCAGTGTTGTTCCTATTTGGGCCTCTAGATCATTGATAGACGAACATATGCCTGCAGATTTCCAGGAAAAGTATCCAAACACAAGAGTGATAATAGACTGTACAGAGATTCGTTGCCAAATGCCGAAAAGCCTCCGTTTGAACAGCGAACTGTTCAGCAATTATAAAAATCATACCACCTTGAAAGGACTAGTTGGTGTTTCTCCTGGCGGTGCCTTTACTTTCATAAGCCAATTGTACACTGGACGAATTYCGRATAAAGAAATCGTTTTAAGGTCAGGCATATTAGATTTACCCTTTGACAATGGAGATGTCATTATGGCAGACAAGGGGTTCACGATAGAGGACTTGATGCCAGTTGGATGTTCRGTAAATTATCCTCCCTTCCTGGGAAGGGATGTACAGATGAGTGCAGAGGATGTTGCCAAAACACAGTCAATTGCCTCATTAAGGATTCATGTCGAAAGAGCCATAAACAAGGCAAAGAACTTTCACATTTGGGACAGTGTGATTCCTTTTTCACTCTTTGGGGTAGTTAATCAGATGTGGTCAGTGAGTTGCTTTTTGTGCAATTTGCAAAACAGCATAATAAGCAAATAAGTAAATAGGGAACGCACTTAAGCATGCAAACCATTACTATTAWTTTTTATTTGCATTTCAAACATCTATTTTGCACACCAATTTCATACAACCATTGTCGAGTGGTTAATGCCAGACTGACTAAACTGGATTTTTTTCCTGAAAATGCAAACGATTGTCTTGTTGCTGTTGTAACTGATTATTTTGTGTTCAAGTTCATTCAGTAAAAAGCATAAAACATTTGTGAAACTATTTTTTGCTTTTTCTCAACAAGCAGTATTTTGCACTGTTTAGTGACCAGTGTTTATACATTTACTGAATGCACTCTAGTTTTAGTGATATTAATATTTTACAATTTTTTACCCCGAATGTATTAAAACCAGGTCAATAACTTAATAAAATTGATTGATATATAAATTAATAATACTGAAGTCCATTGATACAATTCAATATGTACATCGCTCTATCATAATAGCACAAACAGTAAGTTTTCAACAGTTTCAACTATATTCTTATGGATGATGCTTACTGACTGATAAAATTAGCATAATTTAGCAGTATGCAGCACTGGAGCTGTATTAATGCTGCACACTTGCAGTGTTTGTACTTCAACAATAACAGTTGTTAAATGCATTTTCCTATATAATAACACTACCTTTCACTTCTCTTTCACTGCACGGGGCAAAAAATGTTCTAAATAGTAGCCACAAAGCTTGTCACAGACAATGTCCCAGTGATTTTCATCATAAAAAATCCTTTCAATCGACATTCCTCTTTTTGTGTAGCAAACAAAATCACACCAATGTACACCAGTGATAGCCATCTGCCCTTGAACTTGATCGTAATAATTGTGCTGTCWTTTGAGTTTGGGCTTACCATCAACAATCTCCATAAAAAATGCTGGATCTGTGCTTGCTTCAGTAGGGGTTACGTTCATCTTGCTGTGTGGACATTTGATCTCACAAATGCCAAACATGTCCACAACACTTAAATSTATTACTTTAGCATCTGRTGTACATCCCAGTATCTGGATCTTAGGTGAAACAAATAATCCACTTGAAAACACTTTAACAGGTTTCTGAGACTTCCTTAAATAGTTTTCATACTCTTTAAGAGCAATGATTTCATAATCTTTGCCATGCTTTGTTGCTGTTGTAGTAAACTGCTTCTGTTCAAGCAAGTCTTCAACAAATTTCTCGTGGTTTCTTTGCCTTCTCTTAATTCTACCAAAGTTTGACGCTGTGAATCTGAATTTTCTCTCTTTCATCCAGAGTTCAGAATCAGCTTGTTCTCTTGTTTGTGCCTCCAGCTGGTTTGCTTCAATCACATTCATTTTAAGATTGTCTAATAATTCTTTCTGGTCGTTGCTGATATCATCAGGAATATAAAACGACCCATTCAGATCATCTATGGGTAATGATGGATAATGTGGGAATTCAGATAGGATTTCCTTTGATTTTTCCTGTGTTTCACTAAACAAAGTTACCACAGTAAAGTTTGACTCAGTAATTTGTAGCTGATATGAGCCATATGACCCAACAGAAGACTGTCCAAACCTTGTTTCTATAACTGGCATATTGTCAAGATGTTCAACATCCACAATTTGTGTCAGTCCAAGTTTTGCATCATGCAGGCTTAGATCTTGAATCAGGTTTCTGAGCCTTTCWGTTGAGTTGTTTTTTTGTCTTCTAGCTTCTGCTAATAAGCAAACAATTCCTGTTTTCTTTTCTTTATCGGCATTCTTTGCAGGGTTACTGACAACAACCTGCATAACCGGCTGCGCACTTATCCCATCACCTCTTGATCTGTGCCAACTTTGTAAGGATGAAGTACAGGCTGCCTTTGGATTTTCATCTTCTTCATCCTTAAGTTGGCGAACATCAGAGCAGTTGTAAATACTGTACTTGCAAATTTTTAACATCAATGCAAGTGCATGATTACAAAATCCAGATTTTCCTGCAGCACAGGTAGGCCCACAGTTTGCATATTTCACTTCACCAGACACAATGCAAAGTGCAATTTGAAGAGTATGTGGTTCTTCATGAGTTTTGAAGCTATGAAAACATTTAGCACGGTAGTAGAAATACCTTTGGTCATGATTTGTCTCGATATTGTGTAAATATTCATYGGCCAGAAAGGCTTTTGCTTTTTCTAGAMCTGTAGGCAGTGAACTGGTATATTCTGGGTGTTTCTTTGAAGATTTCGAAATGTGTTCTTTCATTTCAATACAAGTAAACGTGGGACTTTTTTCCAGCGAAGTTTTCCAGCCACTTTCGGGGAACTTAGGCTTTCGGTTATATTCAGAATCCGCACTGTCGGTACTTGGAACACGTGCGACTTCGGTGTCAATGGCGGCGTYGCTTTGTGTTTCTTTTTGAAGAAGACGTCGYTGTTTTCTCTTCGTATAAATGAAATCTTTATCCGGATCCACTATAAAATAAGCGAAACCAGCTTGTAGGTACTCGTTGACACTAAAAAGTGAAAGTTAATGGAAATGTTTAAGCTATARAAGCAGCATAAAGGTGGTGAAACATATGCTATATTTGACATAATCACTGCTCGTCTCTTACCGTTTACAAAGTTGAGCTTTAGTTGTTAAACCTTTCAAAGAATCGCCCCGACATTTCAGCCAAAACTTCAATTCATTATTCTTAAGTCTATTCGGTGCTTTTCCCTCCAAACTACTACCAGGAACATCATCTTCACACAAGTAAGAAGGACCGAAAAGTGGAGCATTGATGCTAGACGCCATTGTTGTTGGTTTGTGTTTTGGCCCTGGATGCCTCGTTTTCGTGCCGCCCTCGCCAGTCCCTCTCGGACGGCAGACATTTTGGAATTAGGTGTATTAGATCAAAAATCTTTAAAAAATCATAAAAAAAGTTCTATTTAATATTGTTTCAAAATATTTCGTAGGATGGTAGATATCAATACAAAGAACAACTTGAAGTACTTTTTTGAACTTAAATATGTCACGTGATATTTTAATTTATTATAATATATGTATATTGAACATATTTTTTTAATCGGCTCTGAAAAAATATTTAGCCAAACAGAAACTACCCAATATCCGAACAAATCCATAATGTATAGATCAATAATCATGGGCCAAATTAGAAAAATGGTATTTGTAAACAAAAAACGAACATTTTTGTACGTGGTAGTGTGAAAAACCTCAAAACCTCAGAATTCCCGAATTAACAAGAGAAATTTGGCGGTTAATTGAAGTGCAACCCAAAATTTCTAATTTGTTTGAAGTAGAAGAAAGCATATTGAGTGTTATCCTTCACAAGAGTTACGTTTTTGTTAAGATTAAGATATTTTTCAAAGGCACTTTTTGTATCCGTTGTTAGATCTTCTCTCGGCGCCATTTTAGATTGCAGGCTCAGGGTAAAATAATCAGCGGTAAACTACTGTAATATAAGTTTCCAGGGTTACCCGAGAAAAACAATATGGCGGATGCAGACAGGAAAAGAAGTATAAACCTTATTTTTAACGAAATTCTGAGCTGTTGCTGAAAAAACAAGGGTCCCGTTTTGAAATTTATTCAATCATCTATGCTATTTTCCTCTGGGAAGTATAAGAATAAGGTAGATAAGCTTATTTTGGGATAGAAACTGGACAATTTGTCTTTGTTTTCATTGTAATTCTCAGCGATTTGAGTGTATGAGAATTATTTGTATTTTCTTAAATAAAACTGTATGCAAGTTAAATATTATTAAAATTACTCTCTGAAATCANTTAAAGGTGTTTTCCAGCAGCGACCAGCTTTACCAAGGAACACTGTCACTTGGGACCCTTCAATATTACTTGAATATCTCAAAACACTAGAGCCACTAAAGAAAATATCTCTAAAGAAGTTAACATACAAACTAGCATAGCTGATTGCAATTCTTTCAACTCAAAGAGAACAATCTATTCACATGTTSGACATTCGTAAAATGGAACTTAAATCTTCTATTGTCAAATTTACTATTGGAGACATATTAAAACACACCAAACCTGGGAAACACATTCATGAGTTGGAACTTCCAGCATACCCAGAAGACAGAAGACTTTGTGTTGTTACAGTTATTGAAGACTATTTAGAACGTACAAAACCTTTAAGGGGAGACTGTACTCGTTTATTTGTTAGTTTTGTTAGTAAGAGTACCATTGCACGTTGGATTAAGACCTCCTTAGGGGCTGCAGGCATAGATCTAAACAGATTTACACCTCACAGCACTAGAGCCAGTGCAACCAGCACTGCAAATAGGAAAGGAGTCTCATTGCAAACTATATGTAGGACTGCATGCTGGTCATCTAGTTCAACTTTTTCAAAATTTTACAACAAGCCTAATTATGATTTAGGTGAAGTAGCTCTAAGCATTTTGTCTCAACATTAAAGACTTTGCTTAATGYATGTTGTGGTTTGCTCACAAATACAGCTCTAAAACTCTCATGGGATTCCTTAACGAAATGATGACGTAACAGAATTAGTGCATRTCCCAACTACAGGAAAGGTTGGAGCCTTTTTTCTTTATAATGTGGTCAATGAGATATAACAATACCATAGTGTGATTACAATAACCTCTTATACCAGCTGTACAAGAACACTTTTAAAAGTTCCATAAGTTACAAGATATAAGAYAGTGTAATTAAAACATTGTGTGGTTTTGCACCTTTTTTTGTGAACAAAAACATTTGCATTTAATATGAACTCCATTTTCTGAGGCAAAGCATAATACATCATGCACATAATTCTCATAAAAGAACTTGTAACCTTTTACGAGGGGTTTTTCAACATAGCTACTTGATTTCTTGGCACTCTTTTTTGCATGATCAATGATWCTTATGTATGAAAACTTCTTCGGTAGATGAGATGTGTCAGTGCTCCACTTTTCTGTTGATTGTGAGCTCGATTTAGTTTCTGAGTCAGAGTCATCTGTGCTAGATTCGTCTGCTTCTTGATAAGCACAGCACTTGTAACATTTCAATCTTTTGGCTTTAGAATAACATTTCCCRGGATCGGGGTCGATAATTGG